GGCTTTGGGTTTGCCACGAGGGAGTTCCATCTCTTCTGACTCTGCCCCTCCCTCATGAGCCTGGCCTTCAGGAAGGAGGGGCGAGGCGAGGCCGGTTCCCAGCAATGCACAGGGAGGACCTCAGCCCGCCCACCAGTCCACCCACCACCCCGCCCATCGCAGCAGGACTCCAGCCGCATCCAGCCGGGTGGGGGGGAGGATGGGCCGGTGCCTCAGGGCCACTGAGAGGTAGCCGCTGTCCGCGGTCTGCCGCCCGGGCTGCGTGAGGAATTGTTTCTTAGTTTAGTTTTGCACCAGAGCATCTTTAAATCAGACAGCCATTTTGCTGTATTTCTAGAAAACTTAATTTTTGATGATGACCAGTGTGAACATATCACAATGATATATTTTGCGCAATATTTATTAGAGTGTCTCCCATAAGACTATGGAGATCACTGCGGCCTCCCATTAATGAACAAAGGCTGGGATATGATTTTTTTCCCAGGCAGCTACTCCTTTGTTCACCAAAGGGAGCCCTGGCTAATAATTCCCCAAGCCTGAAAGGTCCCCATTTAGTTACCCTAACAAATTTCTGATGACTTATGTGAAAACAAATTTTAACATCATTTTGAACAGCTGGCAACCCAGGTGTAGACATGTTTTTAAATCTATAAGCCAAATCAAATTATGAACAAATGCTTCAAAAATCCAAAATTGCAAAAAGAAAGAAAAAATTGCTGAGCTCAAATAAAAACAGCTGCTTGCAGATTGGGCAAACAGACAAGCAAACATACCTAGACAATCTGTTTGCAAAATCAGACTGCACTCAAATATATTTTTGGCCAAATGGAATTATAATTACTCTTTTACAATTTTAGAAGTTTGTAATTATAAATAGAGTAGTCAGAATTTTTTGTAGATCAATTAGCAGAGATCTTTTATAAGAAGAATTTGGAAGGAACAAAATCCTTTATCTATAATTAATGTATATTTTTTGTATTTTATTTGTCTTATGAATACTGGCAATTTTGTGTCCCTTTCTTTCATGTAGCTTCCAGCCCAGTTATCTCCATACACTCTGTCACCTGCTCAGACCTTCAATTTCCATTTTTGGTTACTGCCTCTTGGGCATCCTGGGTTGATTTCTTTAATTGGCCCTAGGTTTTGTCTAGCTCCATCCTTGTTTATTGGCTGCAATGTGGTCTCTGAGGCATCACTGCCACAGGACTGAGCATTAGATTCCTGAAAAGTGGAACCAACTCCTTCTGTGTGCCTGGGTCTATGATGTAGCTGGACAGCACACTCTGGCACCCAGATAGGTCATTCAACATTCTCTGGAAAGACACGAGCATACCATCAGCCCCATACAAGTATTGGGCTGGGTCCCTTCCGTTGTCCAACATGTAAATGTTTGCAAAGGACCCTTCCTAGCTTATTTTTCTTTAGCTATTGGGTTATCTTTTTACTGCTGTATTCCCATCCCTAGTAGGAGTTAAAAAGTTAATAGTATAAAATGCCAAGTAAAGTCTATTACGAGGTATAAATTTTGTAGGGAAGGATTCCCCTTATTGTTTTTGTAGTTAAATTTTGAGTGTACAATGAGCATGTTCAACAATTCCTTGACTTTGAGGGTTATAGGGAATTTCTGTGGTAAAAGAAATGTGGAAAGTTTCATAAAACGTTTGGTGGAAAGCAGCACTTGTATAAGCCGGGCCATTGTCAGTCTTAAGTGCCCACAGGCAGCCAGGGATGCCAAAAGCATCCAAGCAATGAGCAATGACATGTTGAGTCACTTCACCAGTACAGGTGGAAGCAAACATAAATCCTGAGGCAGTATCCCCTGAAATGTGGACCCAGCGTAGAGAGCCAAACTCAGGAATGTGAGTGACACCCCTTTGCTGAGAGGATTAGGGTTTAACCCTCAGAGATTATCTCCCACAGGGAGTGAAGGAAGACGTATTACACATGAGGAACATTGTTTAACAATTTGTTGAGCCTGTTCCCAGGTTAAAAGGAACTGTTTGTGTAAGGCAGAAGTGTTTTGATGGAAGGTGACATGGGAGGCAGATGCCTGTTGAAAGCATTTGAGGCAGTAACAATGACAGTAGCCAGCAATCTGTCTATTGCAGCATTTCCCTCAGTGAGAGGCCCTGGCAATTGTGAATGAGAACATCAATGGCTGATAAAACAGGGGATAGGGCATGAGTGAATGGTAAATTGGAGAGTGTGAAATAAATGAAAAGAATCTTCTTGGCCAGTGTGAATAGTGGCAGTTTCAATGTGGCGCATCACACTACAAACAGAAGCACTATCTGAGAAAAGGTTAATGAGAGTGGGCAAGTGATCTTGTAAGGCCCATGCGACAGCCCTACAATTCAGTCTTTTGTGCAGAAAAAAACCCTTTATCCTGTATTTGAGAAGGGAAGGCTGTTACATAACCTCTACCTCCTGAAGAGGACCCATCTGTGAAAACAGGAGCACCTCTTGCTATGTGAGAGAAGCAAATTGAATTAACTTCTCTGGAGGATAATGACAATCAATAACACCAGGGAAGTTAGGCCATGGGAATTGAGAAGAGAATAAAAATTGCCACAGCCACTGTGTTTGAACAGCAGGAAAGGGGACAATGATAGTCTGCACCTCACGACCAAAGAGCTGAACAGCATGTGTCCACCCACGTGCAATAAGCTCTGTCACAGCATCATAAAAGGGAGTGGAGCATGTGGCATATTTAGCTATTGCAAAGGGCCCTGAGACTACCAAAGGATCCCATTGGGCATATGCTGAGCTGGGAAAATAATTAAAGACATTGATCAAGATGGGTCAACTCTAAAAAGTTGAGCATTAGAGAGGGCTAGATTAACTTTGTCCAAGGCAGCTTTAGCCTCTGATGTAAGTGCTCTCAGAGATGTGGAGGCCGGGTCCCCTTGAGAATGTCAAAGAGAGGGCCTAAATCATGAGTTGTTGGCTTAAGAGCTGGGTGGAGCCAATTAATACTACCAAGTGAAGTTTGAAAATCAGTTGAGGTTACAAGACAATTAACCTGGATCTGAATAGTTTGAGACACATACGTCTCTGTTGGATAACATGACCCAAATATGAGAAGGGTACCATGGTTGGCACCTTTTCAGGGGCCACTACAAGGTCTACATTATAAAGGGCATCATCTAATTGGAGAAATATTTTGGGTAAGCTGGGTAAGGACTCATGTGCTAGAATATCATCCATGTAAATGAATAAGATAAACAGATGGATGAAGCTGAGGGGCTGATAAAATGGCTGCAGCCACAAGCTCTGGACACAGGGTAGGACTCTTTGCCATTACTTGTGGTAGACAACAACATTGGAAATGACACATAGGGGTCTGATGGTTAATGGAGAGAAAACTAAAGGCAAGACTTTGTTATCGTGAGGATGGAGGATTATAAAAGCAGTCTTTTAGACCAATCACCATGAGGGAAAAATGCAAAGGGATAGCTATGGGACTAGGCAATCTTGGTTGAAGTGCTCCCATAGATTCCACGGTACAATTAACAGCCTGAAAATCTTATAATAATCTCCACCTTCCTGACTTCTTTTGTTTGTTTGTTTTGTTTTGTTTTTCTTCCGGTACCAGGAATCGAACTCACGACCTTGCACTTGCCAGGCAGGCTCTGTGCCGCTGAAATAAATCCCCAGCCCCCTGACTTCTTTTTATCACAAAAATTGCACTATTCCAAGGGAGTTCTAGGTGCCTCACCATTATCTACTCATTAACCAGTGTATAAGCAGCTATAAACTCCTGAGTGAGGGGCCATTGATCAACCCACACAAGGTCATCAGACATCCAAGTTATCTTGGATACCTTTTGTGGGGTCGGAGAAGAGACAAAGGCCCTTCCTGAAAATGTGAAGGTGAGTATCCTATGCCAAAATGGTCCTTTTAGGGACCACTGGAAAGAGTTCTCTCCTTCCCTGATTGTATTTAGCAAGCCCTTGGGTGGATGGAGGTCAGATCAAGGGATATCTTGCCCTTTGAAAAAAGTTTCCTCTAAGCCCTTGGGGCAGCTGTTTTAATTTGTTCATATGCTTGCAATTAAAAAGTAAATTGATTATTTGTGGCAGCAAAGGCACTCTCTCCAGTTAACATGTCTTTTGTAATGGCCACATTGTGAGCAGTATTGCGAGTGGCCTGATCTGCACACAAATCAAAAAAAATTTCCCTTCCACAATAAATAATCCCTTGGATTTAAATATGCTTTAGCCATTCCTTTCCAATCATTAGGGGCCATAACCTGTTGTCCTATAAGCTCTATAAAACCCAAAGTAAAAGGGGCTGTCGGGCCATAGGTAGCAGTTGATTTTAGTTCTTTTAAAGTCTTAAAAGGTACAGCTTCATGAAGACTTGTCCCAGATTACTGGGATCTTGGACCTCAGCAACAAGGTAGACAAGTTGAAAACCCTCCAGGGATTCTCCCACTCACCTGACCTCTTTTAGCACCAAATGCAAGGGACAGAGAAAGGATGACTGTATTCTACCAAGGGTGGAAGTCTCAGCCTGTGATGTAGCAAAATTTTTCTGAACCAAGAAAGCAGATGTAGCTGCTTGTGGTGCAGTTAAGGTTATCAGTTTTACTTTGGGAGGCTGTGAAATGGAAGTTGCAGTGAAACACTCCTCTAGTGGTGAAAGAGCTTTGTCTCCTTCCTTATCTGATTGAGCAAAGCTAGATGGTTCAAGCTCTATCAGGTGGGTTGTTGCTCCACTGTCTTTTTTCTGCTCAGGGCTTGGTTTTAAGTGCTCTGAGCCAAATCCTCTGTGGTCATCTCAACAGGTGTATAATCATCTACACTGCCTGATCCAAGTCCACAAAAAGAGTAATATGGGAATGAATAGTATAGCAAGAATTTCTATATACATTCATTTTTCTTGAGAACCTGTTTGCCCCATGTTTTATGCCTGATGATGGGATCAATACGGATGATACTGATGGGATCAATATTGATGATATTAATACACCCCTCTCTCTTTTGTGTGCAAACTAGAAGTGTCCTCTCACCTGCTATATGATGAGTTTCCTCATACCCTAGTTCCCTGTTGGGCACCAAAATGCCATGTCCAGTGTAGCTCTTGAAATTCTTGGCAGGAGGATGGTGGAGGATGAAGAAACAATGACAAGAGTCAGAATGTGGAAAGCTGAGGTCCGGTGGAGCCCCTCTCCTGGTGGGAGAAAAAGAACCACCCAACAACTGCAGCATGTTTATACACTCGACAGGTTGGTGTTCCATGAAACCCCTCTGCCTAACAACTTGTTCACCTGGCTCACCTCGGGTACTCTGTGGTCCCAGGACTGGCCTTGCCATAGCCCTACACCTGTGTTCAATCTCCAGCTCAGCCATTCCCCACACTTGACTTAATCTTTTAGCTTAAACTACCTGTCCGTAAGACCCCCACCCACAATGTTACCCTCCACCAAAGGACAGGCAAAGCTCACATGGCAGAAGAAATCCAAGTTAGACAAGAGAAATCCAATGTTAGGCAAAAGAAATCCAATGAAAGACAAGCCAGGGAACCAATCAGATTCCAGGAGGCAACCTGTGACAAGTATTCAATAAAAGGAGCTGAGGACAAGAGATTTATGAGCAATTTGCTTTCAAATTCTCCCTACTTGTTCCAAATAGCTGTCTGTCATTTCTTTTCCCTCTTTCCCATCTCCAAATAAGTTGTCTTCTTTTAACTTAAACTACTTCTTTGGTTTTCTCCTGATGGTGGGTGTTGGATCTCTGGGAGCTGCAGAGCAATGGTTTGCTGTGTTCCAGCAGAGCAATGGTTTGCTGTCCACTCCTGGATGTTACAGTGTGGCCTGGCATAACCTAGCATGGTGTAAACCCACCTGGGACATTACACTCTGGGGGGCTGAGGGAGGAGGATTGCAAATTCAAGCCCAACCTGGGCAATTTAACAAGACCCTGTCTCAAAGTAAGAAGTTTAGCCACGTGTGGTGGTACACGACTGTAGTCTTAGCACCCAGGAGACTAAGGCAGGAGGATCGTTGTGAGTTTGAGGCCAGCCTGGGCCAGCCTGGGCCAGCCTGGGATACACAGCAAGACCCTGTGTCAAACAAAACAAAACAATCTTAAAAAAGGGTTGGGTTGTAGTTCAGGGTAAAGGCCCTGGGTTCAGTCTCAAGTATCAGAAACAAACAAATAAACAAAGATATTTGTGTACAGAACCACAATGTCATCTTTACTAAAAATTAACCATCTAACAATCAGTGCAATATTTAAATTTGTCTGATTTTCCTGTAACATGTCTCTGTAGTTGTTTTAATAAGCTAATATACTCAATACCTTTTTGGGGGGCATAATTTATTTTAACATAGAAGAGTCCCTCCCTTTCTCTTTGCCCTCCGTGACAATGACTTTTTGAGGACTCCACCCTAGTGGTCTAGAATCACCCACACCCTAGATTTGTCTGTCTCCACAGGGTGTTCATTTGTTCCTTTATTTTAGGAATCCTTGACTCTGGCGGCACTTGGCAATCAGATTGGCCTGACAAGGAAGAGGGAGTAATTGGTCTGTTCTTATGGGAGGTTACTTAAATAAAATGTAAGACCTAGAAAAGAAAATAAATTCCTGAGTTGTACTCTCATCTAACTGTGTCAGATTCACTGGAGACACAGCTGAGGTGACACTGGTTTCAACATTCCCTGGGTGGTTAGGGAATATAGAGTCAGCGTTAAGAGCCGTTGCTCTCCGTCCTATACATAATTGAAGCTAGGAGCTGGATTTGGGGATATATTTTTGTTCATAATATCTTCACTGTCCATTGTAGTCACCTGGGAGACTTCTAAAAGTATGGATGTGTGGTCTTGCCTCATAGATTCTGCTGTAGTTGGAATGGGATTTTGAAAATCTCAGGTGATTCTAAAATAGTGAGGAAAACACATTGCCTTGGGTTATATTGCTTGATTAATTTGAGTCGTACCAGGTGACACAGAATGCCACAGCGTTCTATTTGTCATACTAAATTCAATCACTGAGTTGAGGCCATGGCCACCAGGCCTCTCTATTGCAAAAGAATAAAGTTTCTCCTAGCTGGGTGTGGTGCCTTCTGCTGTCATCCCAGCACTGGGGAGGGTGAGGCAGGACAATGGCTGAGAGCTTGAGGACAGCTTGGATTGCATAATGAGTTCAACATCATCAGTGGCTCTTTTGTGTGAATTGAGCAGTCTCTGGATGATCCTTTGGCATTCTTCAGCTGTCTGTACATAACAGGCTTTCACCTGATGGTTTTAGTTTCCATTAGTGATTGTTACATGATGGTGATCACTGTATCAGGGGTTACAAAATGATGGTTTTAGCCAGGTGTGGTGGCACATACCTGTAATCCCAGCACTCGGGAGGCTGAGGCAGGAGGATCCTTACCAGTTTGAGACAAACCTGGGCTACAAAGTGAGCTCAAGGCCAGCCTGAACTGCATACTGATACCCTATCTCAAAAAAAAAAGAAACAAAATGATGATTTTTAAATTTTATCATTCCTTCTACATTTACAAGCACTTTCTTTTCCTTTTCTTTTTCTCTTTTTTTTTAAGATAGGGTCTTGCTACAGTCTGGGCTGGACTATAGCCCAGGGTAGCCCCTAACTTGTGATAGTCCTGCCTTAGTCTCCTGAAAGCTGGGGTGACAGGTGAGCACCACCAGGCCTGGCAAGGTCACTTTTTTTTAAGTAATACTTTTACTTTGAATAAATATATAACTATAACATACATATTTATGTTAACATATAGATAAAAGTGCAAAAAATTAAGCCTATAGTTAAAAAAATTTTTCCCATAGCAAATGCTTGTGTAGGCAGCTGCCAGATAAAGAAACAGAACACTGCTGGTGGTATCCCATAACCCCCTAGACCCCACTCACACCTCCTGTTCCTAGCAGTTCTGCCCCCTTGGGAGTAGCCACCAGCCTTGCCTCTATTTCTTTTTGTTTAGATAGGGCCTGGCCCAGGCTGGCCCCAGCTTCCTGAGTAACTGGGACTCCAGGCACACCCTACCACACACAGCTGTTATTCTAAACTATTAAGGAGCTTACCTATTCGGGAACTTGGTGTACAGGGACGCGTACAGCATGTCCTCTTTCCAGTCTGGCTTCTCGCCTCATCATGACATTATGAGTTTCACCCACATTGTGCAAAGTCACGCATCTTAGTCGTTCGTCGCTCTTGCCGTTTCTGTATCTATTCTAAGCTAGGTGGACATGAAGGATGATTCTAGGGTTTTACTGCTGTGTGCTGCTACATCATATGCAATATGTAACAGGGCTGCTATGAACATTCTGTCACCTGTCCTTGAATGAACCTATTTTGGGCTGGGGTTGGCCACATATAGGAAGGGGTGGAATTGCTATTTGCAGGCTACGTTTAACTCTTAGAGGTACTACCGAACAGCAAACAGCATCCTTCCTGTTTGCTTAGATTTAACCCTTGGGGGTCCTTGTGTACTTTGCTTACTTTCTGGCTGAAGACATCCTGGCTCATGTTCAGTGTTCTCTAGGGAAGCCCTGAACCCAGCCATTTCTCTGAGGAATCCTTGTGCTTGTGACCAGGAAACTATGTTAAAGCTAAGTCTGGAAACTAATTGTGCTCATCCCTACTGTGACGTCCTCATTTTAGATCCCTTTGGTGGTCAAGGCTAGAAAATACACTAAAGATCACAGCCATGGGTTCACACTAACAAGGCCAATTTAACATCACAATTTTTTCCTTTAACTTTTATTCATTGATGGGTGCGTTTCTTTCTCTTACATTGAAAGTCTTGCTAGTAACATCAATATATTTGGTTCCATTGTTTTGTCCTACACTTACATCAAACAATTTCAAAAATGCAATATCAATATTATTGCTGACAATATTACGTGAGTGAAATGATATCAGGAGTAGAGCTTCAGATTTTTTTGGTCTTTTTGTGAGCAATTTTGCTTCTAAGTGGAATGGGTTGCATCTAGTGAGGAAGAGGAAGAAGTCATCCAGCAGTGTAACAAGGGGTTGCCAGGCTCAGAACACAGGCTGTGGGGCCGGGCGCCTTCTGTACATTGCTGCTGCCGAGCTCCCAGTGTGTGTAGCTTCTCCTTCCTTTCTCCAAGGCCCATTCTGAAGGGGTCCAGGGATTCCATTGAGAAAGATGCGCAGCTGGGCACAGCGCTTCCTACTGTCTCTTAGAGGCTTTAGTTGATATCCTCTATCCTCCTTTCACTTTAATGGTGATGGTTAATATATATATATATTTTTCAGTAGTAGGGATTGAACCCAGAACCTTTGCACTGAGGTATCTCCCAGTCCTTTTAAATTTATTTCATTCTGAGACAGGATTTTACTAAGTTGCTAAATTTCCCAGGCTGGACTCAAACTCCCAATTGTCCTGCTTCAGCCTCCCAAAGTACTGGGATTATAGGTGTGTGCCACTATGCCCGGGTGATGGTTAATTCCATGTGTCAACATGGCTAGGCAGTGGTGCCCAGGTATTAGGTGAAACCCATCTAGATGTTGCTATCTATCTGTCTATCTGTCTGTCTATCTATCTATCTATCTATCTATGTAGAGACAAGATCTTACTCTGTAGTCCAGGCTGGCCTCAAACTCACTGTGTAGTGTAGGCTGGCCTTGAATTTGCTATGAACCTCCTGCTTCAACCTCCTGAGTGCTGGGATGACACCATGGATGCACCACCATGCCTGGCATACTGTGTAAATACTTTTTTTTTTTTTGGTATTGGGAATTGAATTCAGGACCTTGTACTTACCAGGCAGGTGCTGTGCTGCTGAGCTATATCCTTGGCCCGCAAGTACCTTTTAAAAATATGTGAGTAATATTTAATCAGTGGGTTTTAGATAAGGCAGATTACTCTCTGTAATTCTCTTCAGGCCTTCAACCGGTTGAAGGCCTGAAGAGAAAAGACCCAAGTCCCTTGAAGAGAAAGGAATTCTGTCTCCAGGCTGGCTCAGACTTGAGACATCAGTTTCTTGCCAACTTGTCCCATGGGTTTCGGATTTCCCAGCCCTCTCCACCCCTTGCCCTCTTCACACCATTGGTTCTATTTCTGTGGAAAATCCTAATACAACCGTATCTCAAAGCGCAGACAAAATGCTAGCGAGCTCTGTGGCCTAGTTACGGCATTATGTGAGAAGAGATTGTAATCATCCAGGAAGGAGGAAAAAGGGACAGCGTGAGGGAAATGACGTGTAGGAACCTGTTTCCCCTCTCATACAGAACAAGACTA